AAAAAAAAAAAAAAGCGGGAAATAAGAATACGAAAAACATACGTACGAGGATGAATTGAAAACTTTTTACAATCTAACATGGAAACAATTCTTATTTTCGATCAAATTAACTTTTATTTCAGGACAAAAATTAATTATTGTTTCTTATTGATTAATCTTTATTACTTTTAAACCTATTCAAAAGTACAATATATGTAAAATAAAACTAATTGTAATTCAACGAATGTGAAAACAACAAAAATATTCATTTTGTGCGATACATATTATATTCTAAAATGATTTATATTATTTTGATTAATATATATAAATGAACTGTAATATCTTAAATAAATCGTAGGATCAATTTTATTTCATTCATTATAATAATTATCTACATATAGATAATAATAATAATAATTTCATGGAAAAAGAGAGAAAACAATTACTTTTCTCGTAACAACGATAAATTTTGTCTATACCAAAGAATCGATTAAACAAATAAAATTGATTCACGTAATACTAACTATCATCGATAAAAAAGAATGAAGCCTTTGACGATCGGGGCAAATGAAAAAATAATTAACGTGTTATGAAGGATAAAAAAAAATCTGATCTATCCTCGATTCTTTAAATAATGTTTGATTTTCTCGAGAAAAAAAAACACTTTTCCAAGAGTATTTTCGATCGACATTGAATCGTGTGAAATAATTCTACGAATGAATTACACACGATATAGTAAGAACATTAATAAATGCATTTATATATATATAGGATAGATAAAAAAAAATGATTAAAGGGAAAACAAGTAAATGATTTTAACTTATCGTCTAATATCCCATTACAAATGTAAACAGATAAAAGCAATCAGATCATATATTTAAAAGACAAAAAAAAGAAGAATTAAAATTATTCACGTTCAATGAATAATTAATTCCAACTCTCTTTCTCTTTTTTTATCTCATCTATATCTATCAATCTATCTATATCTCTTTTTTTATTCTTCCTCCCTTTCACTCATTTTGAATCCACTCATCTCTCTGACAGAATCTGACAAGGAATCTTACAAATAAAAAGATAAAGACAATAAGAATAGAAAAAGAGTATATAATATAAAAAATGTTTAAATAAAAAAAGAAAAACAACTCACCTAACCTTGCAATACCGACTACGTAGTGTCAGATCGTTGTCCTTCGAAGAAAAATCTCTTCGGTCTCGTTCCCAGATAAACGATGACGCTTTCTTCCATCCACTGTGCGTGTAACGCTTGTAACACTTAACCATACGAAAAGGCACTTATTATTTCACGCCGAAATAAAATATCGTATAAAGATTTTAATAGTAAGGTCACGCGTGTAACGGTAAGCTTCTGCCACCATGTCGAAAGAGAAAGAGAGAGTATTCTCCGAAAAAGTATAGGATTATAGTGAACGCGCGCGCACGCTCCGGATTTGAGTCCCGCACTGCTTCTCTCAATGCTACTGCAATTGCTGTTGTTTCTTTCCACGAACTAACCGAACGTTAACCGATGATCAACCCGACTGGCGCTCGCGTCTGTCTGCTACTGCCGTCCGCTCTCCTCTCGACCCTACATTACCCCCACTCCTTACCAATTACATATACGGAGATCGTGAATGATTAATATTCCGCTAGAGCGAGCCACTATCGCACCCTCCACAGCGCCCTCAACACGTGACCTATCGTTAGCCAATCACAACGATCCTTGAAAAGAGGGCCCTCAACACGTGACCTATCGTTAGCCAATCACAACGATCCTTGAAAAGAGCGCCCTCGACACGTGACCTATCGTTAGCCAATCACAACGATCCTTAAAAAGAGCGCCTTTTATAAAATCTATTATTTTTCGTTTAAATATTGTTTATTGTTTTATCTTATGTTTCTTGCAAATAGATAATAAAAATTATTGATAACGGTTATTTATTTATATTTTTATTCTCGAGATGTAATTTTATTGATTGAATAATTATAGAGACATATAATAACGTAATGAGATATAATTGAAATTGGTTAAAGAATATGATAGTTGATCTTTTACTGATAACTATATATGCGGTACGGTTTTAAATATACGCAACGTATTACTCGTATAATTATATTTCATTGGTTATATTATTATATTTTATCTATATTTTTAATAATTAAAATCAGATTTTTATTTATATATTTATTTAGAAAAATGTTATTGTCGTTTAAGTGCATATGATTATAACCGCGACTATATTTTCAATGAGGTTAGAATTCTAATAGCAGCATTGTTCATTGACGTGTCATTGAGTTACAAATGGCGGCTACCGATGAGCCTGTTTCTTTAGTGGAGAAAAATATCGAAAAATTAAATGTTTCGGAAAGTGATTCGAACAAAACTGTGGATGACACCAAAATGGGAGAGATTTATGAACCACATTTATGGGGTTTCGAAACACGAGAGCTCTACAAAATTGCACTGAATTTCTATAAAGGTATTTACGAATCTACTTAATGAATCATTGTCGTTATCTTCTTGTTTTGTTATTACATTGTTGAATTAGAATAAGAATCAAGAAAAAGAATGTTTAAAAAAGATTCATTACATTGTTTTTAATTGAATTAATGATTATCCTAATGTTTTCCACATGTATATTCTTATGAATAAATCTTTAACGTATTCATTAATATTTGATTATTGCTTTGTCAGAGAAAGAAGGAAAAGCTGTTCACCTTTCGTACGAGGATAAATTAAAATTGGTTGCATTTACACAACAAGTAATGCATGGAAAATGTACTGCTGAAAATGCCCCACCGTTAGGAGTTTTAGATGTGATCGGTAAAGATAGACGTCTGGCATGGCAAAATTTAGGAGATATATCTAAGGAACAAGCAATGGAAGGATTTATAGTTTTATTGGATAAATTGTGTCCTTTATTTAAAACAGTAGTAGAAGCACAAAAGAGAGATATCGAAGAGAAAAAGCGTTTAAAGGAAGAGGAAGAAATCAAACGGATAGAGGAAGAAAAAAGATTGGCAGAATTGGCAGAAGAAAAAAAGAAAGAAGAAGAGGAAAGATTGAAATTGGAATCGCAGAAAAGACAAATACAAGATGCGCTCAATCAACAAACATATTATCAATTTAAAGTGTACGCCGAACAACAATATCCTGGAAATCCAGAACAGCAAGCTGTTTTGATTAGACAATTGCAAGAACAACATTATCATCAATATATGCAACAATTACATCAGAATCAATTAGTCATAGAAGATCAAAAAACAGAAGAATCAAATGAATTAGATGGCACAAATAAAGATACCGAAAAGGAACCTATCGCAGAAAATGAATCTGCGCTTTTACAAGATGATGATTCGGATGAGTTACAAGAAGATTGGCCACCTATTGCCCCTGCTGAAATGTGGACAAGAAAAGGTGTGGAGGAATTTAAAGAAACAATTAGAAAGGACAGAGGTGACGCTGTTATAAAGGTTGGTCATGGAGAAACCGTTACTGTAAGAGTCCCAACGCATGAAGATGGTTCATGTTTATTTTGGGAATTTGCCACCGATGGCTATGACATTGGATTTGGAGTTTACTTTGAATGGTCTAAATCAGATACAGATCAAGTATCTGTTCACATTAGTGAATCGGAAGATGATGATGAAGAAGAAGAAGAAGAATATGAAACCCAAGATGATTTAGAAAGTGGAGGAATAAATGGAAATAATAGAGTTGAATATAAACCAACCACACCACCTATAAGTGTAATAGTACCTGTAAGTATATCATAACATTTTATTCTATTTTTAAATTTTTTAAACAACTATGTTTTTCATTAAATATTTATGTTTTTATCGTTAAGATATACAGGAGAGATTCTCAGGAGGAAGTATATGCAGGAAGTCATCAATATCCTGGACAGGTAAATGTAATGAATTATCATCAATTCTTATTAATAATAATTTGCTCAACTGGAAAAATTGATTCCTTATTTGTTATTTAATTGCAGGGAGTATATCTTTTAAAATTTGACAATTCATATTCACTGTGGCGAAGTAAAACACTCTACTATCGAGTGTACTATACCAGACCAGGATTTACAAAGGATTAGTTGTAATTGTTAAATTAAGGATTTATTGAGTGTATATTTGTTGTGCACTGGCTCGTCATAATCGCCTGCTGATATTGCTAGTCCAACTAAATAAAGTGTCCTATATCCTGTCTTTTCTCACGTAAGACAAGGTGTTCACTGTGCAAAAATGAAAAATATATATATATATATATATATAT